AAACAAACAAAATAAAACAAAACAAAAAAACCAAGGTGAACAGGAATGCCAAGCCCCAAACAAGACCTTTCAGTTTCCAAACTGCTGATATGTTTCTACGATTTTAGTGGAAAGAAGGGGAGTTTAAAAATTACAATTCAGAACACAATTGTAAGAATGAAAATCTTTAGGTTTTTGTAATCAGTACTGAAACTAATCCTCAACATGTTCTGAAGTTCTTATTTTAGATACAGTGTGCTAATATTGTTTCATTATATCCTCAACATAAATCTTCTAAGGTCATTTACCAAAAGAGACATGGTTATTAAGTAGTTTGCTAAAAAGTTTTTTTTTTTTAAAAAAAAAGCTTGTTAAAAAGTAGAGACAACCCAGTGGCGCAGCAGGTTGAGAGCTGTGTTGTGAAACTGTCTCCAGCCTCTGCAGCGTGGGTTCAATTTCCGGCAGGCCAGGGAGATACCCACATGGTGCGGCAAACCTCTCCTGTCTCTCCTGCTGCTCCCCTCAGAAGTGTGTTTCAGTCAGTCTGCCTGTTCTGTTCCCCACTTTCTCTCTGGTGAATCCTCTCACCCTCCTGCACCTCTGGCCTGTACCCTAGTTCTTGTATAAATAAATAAACCTTAAAAAAAAAAAAAAAGAGGGCCTCCCCTGTGGCGCAGCGGTTGAGCGCTGGGTTGCGAAGCTGCCCGCAGCCTCTGCGGCGCCGGTTCAATCCCCGGCTGCTCCCCGGCCACCGGAGGAGGGTCCCACATGGCGCGCAGACCTCTCCTGCCGCCCGCTGCTCCCCTCAGCAGTGTACTTCAGTCCTTCTGCCTGCTCTGCTCCCCGCTCTGGCTCTGGTGGATTCTCTCACCCTCCCGCGCTTCTGACTATACCCAGTGCTTGTATAAATAAAACAAACAAACAAACAAACAAATAAATAAATAAATAAATAAATAAAAGAAAATAGCTTAAAAAAAAAAAAGTAGTGACAATGATTTTGAACTACACCACCTCTCTCTGACAGGGCCTTTAGAAATGTGTACATTATTAATCATCTTAATCCTTTACTGAAGTTAGAGTAGAACTATTTTCACCCATCCCTGTGGATTATACTGTTATCACACATGAAAAATGTATCATTATAATCCAAACTGGTCTGTAACAAAAGAAACTGAACGGAAAGCTGATGAAAAATTTTACAGGAGTGTGACTATTACATATAATTAATATAAGTACATGTATGTCTGTTAAATCTAATAACAATTCATTTGAACTTGTATTCTGCATGGTTTTTTTTTTTTCACTTCATTTCTTAGTACTTCATTTTTACTAATATACTGGTTTGTAGTGTTAAGAAATTAAACACTAATTATTTGCCAGAGTTTGAGGAACATGCACTAGAGCTCTGGTGCAAACACAGCTTGCTCTCTGTTACCAGCTCTGTGACAAAGAGGACACAAGCTCTGGTAATCAATATAAAATCCCACTTTGGCCAACTGTTTATACTTTAACTTCAATCATCAATCAGGTCACCTGCTAAACTAGGTTTTATTGGTAGTTAGATTGCAGGCTCTCAACTTAGCACTTTTATTTAGACCCAAAGAAAACTACTCATTAACAATTAAATCTGGGCCTCCCCGGTGGCGCAATGGTTGAGCGCTGGGTTGCGAAGCTGCCTGCAGCCTCTGCAGCGCCAGTTCGATCACCAGGCGAGGGTCCCACATGGTGCACAGACCCTTCCTGCCGCCTGATGCTCCCCTCAGCAGTGTACTTTGTCACTCTGCCTGTTCTGCTCTGGCTCTGGTGAATTCTCTCACCCTCCCGTGCTTCTGACTGTACCCAGTGCTTGTATAAATAAATAAATCTTTAAAAAAGTCATTAATAATAAAAAAATTAAATCTAAAATAACCAAAGATAGTGCTAAACTAGTGAGTCCAACACTTCTACCACACCAGACCTCATTGTCTTAAGCATACTTTGGTCTCCTTTACAATTTATATAGTTCTTCCCCATACCATATGCTGAAGAAGAGAGCATCTTATTAGTTATTTTAAATTTCATTTCAAAATCAGAGACTATTTTTCCTACATTTTGCAAATACAGGAATTTGAGGAGCTACATTCTAAGAATAGAAATTGTGATTCTCAGGCCCCATTCTTTCAACCTTGACAGTATAGTTTCTGGGTAAAAAGGCAAGGAAGACGTTTGGGAGTAAGGAATGTCAGGCAATAATTTTTATAAACTATCTCTCTCTCTTTTTTTTTTAAAGATTTATCTATTTATTTATACAAGCACTGAGTACAGTCAGAAGTGCGGGAGGGTAAGAAAATTCACCAGAGCCAGAGCAGGGAACAGAACAGGCAGACTGACGAAGAAATACACTGCTGAGGGGAGCAGCGGGCACGACAGAGAGGTCTGTGCGCCATGTGGGACCCTCGCCAGCGGCAGGGGATCAAACCGGTGCTGCAGAGGCTGCGGGCAGCTTGGCAGGCCAGTGCTCAACTGCTTCGCCGCCAGGGGAGGCCCATAAATTATCTCTTTAACTTCACAATACATTAGTATATACTAAGAGTCTGATAGTACTTATAGTCTACACTAATAGTCTATGTTCCTATTACAATAAACAGATTTTATGAATGCTGATTTATTTATAGCATTTTAAGATCTACAGCTGGAAAAGACCTCTTGACCATTAATTAGCCATAAATGACATGACATACTAATTGTCTTTTAACAGCCTGGTTATTTACATTCACATATACATTTCCTTTTAGTGGAAAACCATGTACCTACATACTGCAAAAATCACTTAAGATAGTTAAATACTGAAAATGGAAAAGTTCTCAGCATCTTAAAGAAATAAAAACAGGGCCTCCCTGGTGGCGCTGGTGGTTGAGGGCCGAACTGTGGAGCTGTCCGCAGCTTCTGCAGCGTGGGTTTGATCCAGGCCAGCCAGCGAGAATCTCACATGGCGCGGCAGACCCCTCCTGTCTCACCCGCTGCTCCCCTCAGCAGTGTATTTCATCAGTCTGCCTGTTCTGTTCCCCGCTCTGTCTCTGGTGAATCCTTTCACCCTCCCGCGCATCTGGCCTGTGCCCGGGTTCTTGTATAAATAAATAAATCTTTAAAAAAAAAAAAGAAATAAAAACAACAGTTTCTTAACTTGAATTACAATTCTTGATGTTACTTCAGTAAGCTTTAAAATATTCAAATCAATGAAACCCCACAAATGTCAGTGCTAATAACCTCAACTGATTTCCAATACAGTTATAAGAAAATAGTTTATTTCAGAGGAAAGATAGCAGGGTCAGAGTACTGGGCAGGCAGGTAGCCCAAGTATGCTTCACAGCCAAGGGCCACAGCAATCTACTGCTACTCATCTCCAGCCAACTGTTGCCTTGAGGGAATACAGACAAAAAAATAATAAAATTAAACATTCTGCTAATACAACAAGGCAAATCTGTGGACTAGATTTGGTACATGTAGATTCACAACAACTAAGAGTAGCTAAAACCTATTCTGAGTCAGGAAAAAAACTAGATTTAAAAACAGCTCTTGGGCCTTCCTGGTGGCGCAAGGGGTTAAGACACAACCTATGAAGCTGTCCGCAGCCACTGCACAGTGAGTTCGATCCCCGGCCAGGGAGCTACCCACATGGCGCAGCAGACCTCTCCTGACTTGCCTGCTGTTCCCCTCAGCAGTGTACTCCGGTCGATCTGCCTTTTCTGTTCCCTACTCTGTCTCTGGTGAATCCCCTCAGCCCCCACACCTCTGGCCTGTACCCCAGCTCTTGTATGCATAAATAAATCTTTAAAAAAAAAAAAAAAAAAAAAAGCTCTAGCTCTAACATACTTCAGTTGTGTGAGTTACAAACTACTGAGTCTAAGTTTTCTCACCTGCACCCGAGTTTTAAAAATGAAGTCAGACAATGGGTATACTGAAGAAATTCAGCTTGGTGTTATCATTAAAGAAGGAGGGATACAGATTTTTAAAAAGGAAATGGAAGAAGAGCAATAATCCAGGCCTCCTTCCATCTGGTTGTAGGCTTTACTATTTCTCAAACTCAGAATGCCTAGTCCCACCTTCTTTCCACCACACAGGATATTTTCTTTACCAACAATGCCTCCTCTTCCCTCAGGTTTCAAAGTCTACCTCACACGTCATCTAAATCCATTTCTCCTCTCCCCTCTACTTTGAAAGCACATATTTATTTTACAGCTGAATCCCAGGTAATACTCAGAATCCTGTCCCCTCTGCATGTGGCTTTGCACCCTAAATCTTTGAGCCCTGTAGGTGATGTGAAACCTTTATGACAATTTAAAGAATCTATCTGCATTTTTACTGAACAATGCTTTCATCTATCTTTCGTTCCTGTTTGTTCAAGTAATGACAACAAAATTAGCCAAAATGTCCATCAAAACATATTTTAAGAAATGTACTTCTAAGCAGAGATTTGAAAACAACTTGAAATATCTACTCCAATGTTCTCTTTCTTTAAAAGGAAATATATGTTAAGAACTACGTAGGTTCTACGTATTTTTTCTTACCATCATTCTAATACGGGTATTCCCAAAAACTCCTTTCCCCCAAAAGACTGTACTTGATTTTCTCAAAAAGAGAATTACATTGATTTCAACTAATGTTGTCAAATAATGTCCTCCATTTATATTTCTTGATAGCAGCCTGGAATTTTGATTCCTTTTGATTTCTGGAAATCAAAAGAATGTTATGGTATCTCTTTCCAGGAAAATGCACAAAGCTCCAAATTTTTTATTGCAACTTCAGGGGATTCAGAGTACCACCGGGATCTTGTGGATCCACGCACTTCAAGTTAAGAACTGTATGTTGAATGCGAGGTTTGTTTCTATTATGAAATGGTATGCTTCTTTTTAAGATCGTTTCCCTTAATAAGGTCTTAACCTTTAGCTCTGAGATTCACTAGGGAAGCAGCTTCCCTTTACAACTGTCACTACTTCCCAACAGCCATCCCGACAGCTAACAGAAAATCAAGAATTTCTTACCTCCGAAAAGTTAACAGCCAAGGGAATGATTCCAGCCACGTAACATCCCACCAACATAGCCAGAGACAGCAGACTAATGGAGATGAAATCATCCATCATGCCCTCCTTTATTCACCCACCACTACCAGGTTAGATTTTCAGAGGCTTCAAAAGGTGCTTAGATTCCTAAACACGTGTCGTGGTTCCAAGAGAATTAGTGAGCTTTCCAGGTCTTGCGTCCTCCTCACCAGCAGATTTGTTCACGAGGCACCTTTCTCTTCAGCGTACCTGGAAACAGCCCCTTTTTGCTGATATAGGCACCAGCCCAAACTCTCAGCAATCCTGAATCCCAGCCCCTCGGTTTTCAGATGCCAGTCACTGAATTCCCGCGGTCTAACCGATCCGGCAAGCGTACAGGGAAAACATTCAAATGAGCGATTTCCTGGATCGTTGGAATGAGGGTGAGACAACGGACCCACGCCCCCCAAGACAAAGTCCCAAGTGGCAGCAAGAACGGGAGGAAAACCCAAGCGAATCTGTTCGTTTTCTCGGTACCCCTGTCTCTCTGGGGCAAACCCCTACCCAGTGACCCCCCCAGGGCTGGGACCAGCCCACCAAACTCTCTTCCGAGTCTAGAATGAGGAAAGGAGTCCTGCAGGCTTCCAACGATGGGCCTTCAGGGCTCAACAGCGAAGCTGATACAAAGCTGTCTCTGCCCTATACCCGGTGCTACCCATGCTACTCCACTCCGCTGGGCCTTGAGCCGGAGCCTCCGATACTACAGCTGCCATGGCCGCCAAGTGGCATCTCTTCATCACATCCACTTCCGGATTGCCTCCTCGCCCACTTCTTGAAAAGGGCACTTCCGGGTTACAACCGACCTATGGCCCGCGATTTTTATACTGCCGCCATTTTTGAGTCGGGTTAATGAAAGATAGCTTGAGTCCCTGTCTATATTGGCGGTCACTTTAGTCGCATATCCAATAACGAGAGTACGGAAGAAAGCGTCTTGAGAAAAGATGATTGCTTTTAAAGCTCCGAAATACTGCCTGTGTGGCTCATCGCCCATATCCAAGATGGCTGAAACAGATTCACGACCGCTCTAGCTGCCGGAAATGGCTGCGCCTCTATGGTCTAAAAGGCTTTTTCCCCGAGCGCTTCTGACGACTTCCGGCGGCTCCTCTCGCGGGGATTGGCTGTTGGCGGCGTTGCCTCTAAGCTCGTGTGCGGCAGCGGAGTCGGCAGAGGTTGCAGCGAGAGAGTTTGGCGCGATGGTGAGAAAGGCCTGAGCGGCGCCCCGATTTTCCAGCCCCCGGGTGACCCCAGCCCTGTACCTCTTCTGTCCACCCCATTCACCGCGAAGGTGCTGCTCCCCGGCTCTGGCTTGGGGGCCGACCATTCCGCTTCCCGCCGCGGAGCCGCCTGGCCTGGCGCTAGGCCCCGGAACCCGGGACCGCCCTCAGATCGCGCGCCCGCCCGCTGGCTCGGCGAGGCGTGCTTGGGGCCTGAGGATGCGCTTTCTCGCGATTGCTGCCTGGTAGAGGCAAGGGTGGGGTGATGCGCTGGCCTCCTAGGGGCTCTTGCCTTCTGTGGGAACAATGGCCGAGGGGGGTTTGAGAAACCGGTTCCCAGAAGCTGACAGATTGAATTTATTGCAGCCAGCTCCAGGAGAGGTCGTCTTTGCTTTGTAGTGTGGTTTCTCAACTGCTCCCTTTCGTTTTTCGTGCTTTCCTTTTTAGAAAATACATGAGGTTTCTCCTTTCTGAGGCTCGTGGATGCCTGGTTTAGCCTTTCTTTCAACTTTCATGCATGTCCTTAATTTCGTTTATATTCTCTTGGAATTGGGAGACCGAGAAGATGGGCCCCGCTCAGGCTCCAGGTCCCTTGCAGCCTGACGGGGTGTGGTGGTGGAGTGCGTGGGTTTCCCCTCTTCCCCTTCCCAGTCCACAAAAGGAAGATGCGTACATCTTCTCAGTAATTTCTCAGATTCTGAAGAATGCTTTTTGCTCCCACACGTAAGCTTGGGTGTTCTGGTTGCTGCAGTTCTTACTAAGTTATGCAGCTGCTGTTAACAAGGAACTTTTTCAGTTTATATTTTTCTGAGGTTGATGCCTTTCAATGCTTGATGTAACATAGGCTCCCAAAGAGGACCGGGAATGAGAGGGCTGGGGTTCCATTTCATTTTTTTTGTCCTAACTAGCAAGCCACTGTAGAGTTTTCTTCTCTTTTTATGTCACTATTTGGTATTGTGTTATAATGCTTATATTATTGTAAAATCTGAGAAAGTGACAGCAGTTAATGTTAACAACTCATTCTTATTTGACAGTGTTAGTGGTAATTCTGAGTCAGTCTTGGTAGAATTGAAAATTAGAATTTGTATTTGAGGTAAATAACGTTTCAAAAGTCTTAAATACTTTTGCTTTATTGGAGATACAAGCTTCTGTTTTGTTTTTAATTTGGAGGAGGTATTTAAAGCTAATGAGCAAATTGTACTATTCTGCAACAGTAGAGTGACTTGTTAGGGCTCATGTTTGTGAGACTTTAAAAAAGTTAATACAGACAGGTTAATCCTTTCTCACAGTGAGCATAAACTGCTTTGTAATCAGAGAGAGTAAGGAATTTTTAATTCTGGTTAACTTTTCCCCCCTCATTTGGGTGTCACAGTCTTATTTCCTTATTATGCAAATGTAAGTTCACATATATTCTACATATGTATTTGCATTTTACATTATATATTTTTGTACTTGTTATTCCCCTGAGAAATAAGATCATGAGGAAGGCAAGGACCAAATCTGCCCAGAAGAAGGGAAAAACTGATGAGAAAAATATATTTGGACTTTTAATTAAACGGTTCTGAAAATAGCTCCATTAAGAAGAAAGTGATCAAAACTGGTTTGGGAGGTATCATAGTCTTAAGCAACTTGTAACAGGAAAGCACTGCCACTTAAATATATTAATTTTGCCTACAGTTTCGTTATTTAGTCATTTTTAAATTCTTAGTTCTTAATCTTTGCTTTGGGAAATAAGTATTGAAACGAGTGAACTTTGTCACAGGTTCAAGACTAGATATAGGGCCTCCCCAGTGGCGCAGCGGGTTGAGCGAAGCTCTGTGAAGCTGTCCACAGCCTCTGCAGTGCGGTTTCCATTCCCCGCCGGCCAGGGAGATTCCCACATGGCGTGGCAGACCTCACCTTTGCACCCGCTGCTCCCTTCAGCAGTGTGTTTCAGTTGTCTGACTGTTCTGCTCCCCACTCTGTCTCTGGTGAATCCTCTCACCCTCCTGAGCCTCTGGCCTGTACCTCAGCTGTTGTATAAAAAAATAAATCTTTTTTTTTTAAAAAGACTAGATATAAAAAACAGTATACTGTTTAGCCTTTTCCACATCTTTACTCTCTTAAATGAGTCCCTTAATTTTCATTAAAGTTAGAAAAATGGCTGTTGTAAGTATGATTAGTGTGCAGGGCTATTCCTATTGTAGGAGTGCTAATTTGGTTTCCATAAAATCTTTTTTTCTCCCATATGACTCTTTGAAATGGCTTTTTGTTTTTGAGGAGATGGCTTAAAAAATTTCTGTGTAACAAATAATCTAATAGAATGCTTTGCTTGACTTACAACCGCTTATTTTTTTAAAACAAAAGTCTTGATTTTCAGGTCATTTTAAGTGAGAAGCCCCTCATTTCTGGCACTAAGTTGTATTTTTATCTCAAAACATCTCAAACTCAATCAGAATGACCCAGTTCTTGGTGGGTGATGAAGGAAATATGTAAATCCTTTGCTTTTTATTTTTTGTCCAAAGTACTGTTTTTTACTGCTCAATTTGAAATCTAGGCATTAGCTATTTCAGTTCTGATTTGTTAATAGCTAAAAATTTCTTCTTGCTACAAAATTTTGGCATCCTGTCATTAGAGAAATTTTTTTTACACCAAATACTAGTACAGCAAGGGAGAAGAATGTGAATAGTTTTTGCTTTGAGATTGGGTTTACAATGAGGTTGCATCATATATTTAACCAAGCATAATTTCAGTAGACAATTTTGATTGTCAGGACTTTGCAGATAGGGCTGGGGCTAAGGGTGGTTGGTGTAGGCCAAGGATGCTGCTAAACATGATACAGTGCCTAGTACAGGCGCCACAACAAGGAACCATCCGCCCAAAATGTAACAGTGTCACTAACAGAAACCTCGCACCCTGGTAGCAGGAGGTAAAAGACAGTGTACTGTTGACTGTTAGGCATATCCACATTTCTTGTAGTGTGATCATTTTGTGTGATTCTGTTGTTTAAAAATAACTGATTTCAGGGTCTCCCCTGGTGGCGCAGCAGTTGAGCGCTGGGCTGCTAAGCCTCTGCAGCACCGGTTTGTTCTAGGGGGCTGGTGAGGGTCCCACAAAAACAAAAAAAAAATCTGATTTCAGTAAATGTCCCCTTAAAGAGAGTCATGTACTGGGCAAATACTTTAAGGTTTCCTTGGATAATATAAACTATATGTATGTATTTTATATTGCCAGTTTATCTTATGCTTTCATGTTTGAGTCTCACCCCCCACATAAGATGTGGTTCCACTATGGTGCTAAGCAGAGAAAGAGCATAGATTGACTCAAGTGCTTGCAGTCATAGTGCTTCCCTTTTTCTCTCATTTCCTATCCCACCCCCCCATATCTGGATTTTTATTAGGCACTTTGTAGGGCTACAGATAGTGACCAGTGGAGATCGGAAACCTAAACAAGTTTGTGATTTAGTTGAGAAGAAATACAAGAAAGAAAAAACGGTGTTAGGGAGGTTATGCTGAGTACTTACTGACTTGCATGTACAATGGAAGTTTGAGAAAGCAGCCATTAAGGGCTAGGAGACAAAAGCCCTTCCAGAGGAGTTGTGAATCTAGCTTGAGGCCGCTCTCGGACAAAGGCATATTGTAGCACCCTCATAATGTTTTAGTAACCAACAATCAATTGTCATGAATAGGGATTTGGTGTCAAACTCTGAATTTCTCAAACATCAGTTAGAAACTTTTATTGACATCACTTTTTTCCCCTGCAGTCTCACACCATTTTGCTGGTACAGCCTACTAAGAGGCCAGAAGGCAGAACTTATGCTGACTATGAATCTGTGAATGAGTGCATGGAAGGTGAGTAAACATAAATCAGGAGGCAGAAATCTTTGAGTTTTTTTTCTGACATTGACTATCATAATGTTTCAGTTAGGAATTGATTTTATGGTTTTTTACATATTTTATCACTTCATAATATGAGTAAGGAACGTATATGTTTAAGACCGTATTTATTGAATATTTGAAACAATTATATACACTTTCTTTTCCTATTACAAATACTACTTTTTGAAAATCCAGCTTTTGTATATAATGAGTGACTTTCCAAAGACTCATTGTAAATATTCTCTCATGTACTATTACTTAAGTAATATTTGTGTATTTTATGTAAATCTTTATAGGGTATTTCATTCTGGTTAATAATCTGCTTATTTAAACTAACATTAAAAGCTGTTGAGGTTTGAGTACAGTCCAGAATGTTAGAAAATAAAAATTAGAAAGATTTGGCAAATGAAGCCAAATAAGTATGTTTTATTATGCATTTGATAAGCTGAAGGGAACTATTAACCCTTTTTACTCATTACACTTTTAGATGTGAGCACATAGATTGGATTGTCATAAATAGTATTCATCCTTTTCTACCCAATTTGTCTGTTCTTCATTTCCTTTTTTTTTTTTAAGATTTATTTTATGCATATAACAACTGGGGTATAGGCTAGAGGGGTGGGGAGTGAGAGGATTCACCACAGACAGAGTGGGGAACAGAACAGCCAGATCGACTGGAGTACACTGCTGAGGGGAGCAAGCAGGCGAGTCAGGAGAGGTCTGCTACGCCATGTGGGTCAGCTCCCTGGCCGGGGATCGAACTCATGCTGTAGTGGCTTCAGGTAGCTTCATAGTGCTGCGTCTTAACCCCTGTGCCACCAGAGAGGCCCTGTCTTTCATTTCTTCGTAAGAAGATTGTGTAGTTGTTTTTGTTGCTTGACATATTCTTGAGCTTGTTGACTATCCAAAGCTAACTTGATTTGACTTAAAATCTGTCTACTTGGGCCTCCCCGGTGGCGCAGTGGTTGAGCGCTGGGTTGCAAAGCTGCCCGCAGCCTCTGCAGCGCCGGTTCGATCCCCGGCCGCTGGTGAGGGTTCCACATGGCGTGCAGACCTCTCCTGCCGCCCGCTGCTCCCCTCAGAAGTGTATCGTCAGTCTACCTGTTCTGTTT